GGAGGCAGCAGGTCAAGCCCTTGGGTTTCTCCCACTCCCGGAGGAGGCCTGGACTGGGTTCCTGGCCTCCCCGGCTTCAGGCTGGCCGGGTCTTGCCGGTGCAGGCATTTGCCACGGAGTGAACCAACAGCCAGGAGCGGTCTGTCTGCCTCGCAGATAAATAAACGCGCAAAACCTGTTTGTTTGTTTTGTTTTTTCAAATGACAAGGGGTTAAGTCCCCAAAGCTTCTTGGCACAAAAACCATCGCTTTGTCCCACGTTTGAGAAAAAGGCAGAGAAGGCAGCGGGGGGGTGCCGTGGTCAAGGGCACTGGGCCCTCAGCGTCCTGGTCTCGCCTGGAACCACCTCAGGCAAGACAGGCCCTTCCCGGGAAGAGGAGGGGGACAGAGGCGGGGGGCTGCGGCTGCCTCCCCGGGGTTCCGGCTAGGGGAAGGGAGGGACAGCGACTCTCCTCCGCCGCGGCCCCCGGGGCCTGCACAGGCGGCTCCCAGCCGGGCGCCCACTCAGGGACACGCGTGCCAGCGTGCCGCGATCCAGGCCGGCCTGCGCCCCGACGCGCGTCCTCCAGGCAGCCCCCCGCCCCCGCGGGCTCCCAGCGCCGCACGGCTGCGGCCGCAGCTGCCGAGGCGCGCGGGGCCGTCTCCGGTCTGGGGTCTGGGGTCCTCCTGTGGCGCATCCGGGGGGACCCTTTCAAGTCTGAGCAGGGATCTGGGTCCGAGTCTGGGCCCGGAGACCGGGTTCGCGTTCGCTGCCGGGGTCCGGGCCGGGGTCCCGGCGTGGGCCCTGCGCCGGTCCGCGCCCCCCGGCGGCGGCACGCGCCCCAATTAGCCGCGGGGCCGGGCGGCGGTGAGGCCCCATTGAGGGCGAACAAAGGGCGCGACCCCGGGGTCAGGAGTCGCGGGCGCGGGGCCGCTCTGCCCGCGTCCTGTTTACTTTGCCCGAGCGGCGCGCACAATGTGCGGACTAAAGCGGATTAGAGGGTCGCGCCCGGGCGGCGGGCGGCGGGCGGCGGCGGCGGCGGGACCTCCCAGCCGGCGGCCAGACCCCGACCCCGAGGCCGCCCCGCTGCGCGCGGCCGCCGGGCGGGGTCCCCGGCAGCAGGGGCGAGTCCCGCCGCGCGGGGGCCTGCGGGGCCGGAGCCGCGCACGGACCCCGCAGGGTCCGCGCCAGCACGGAAAATGCGGCCCCGTCCGCCTGAGCCCGCAGCGGGAGAGTCGGCCCGGCGGTGCGCGCGGCCTCACGGTGCGCGCCGGCGAGATCGCCCCCGCAGGCCGCCGCGCCGCCTACGACCCGCAACACCCCCGCGGAACCTTCCACGCCGCCTCTGACAGCCGGCAGCGGACGCAGAAACCTGCCCTGCTGGGCGGGGGTGTTTTTGCAGGGCTTCTGCGGAGGGACCCCCGCGCTGCCTGGGGTCTTTAGACCCTGGCTGCGCAGGCACGCGTGTTTGCTGGGGGCTCCCGTGTCGTCCTGGATTAATAAGCTATCAATGTGCGCATCTTCTACAAAAGAACAAATAATGTTTACCGACTATACACAGTTGTTGGCGGAACTCAGGAACACTGCTCTCCCCAGGACTGATGGAGAAGCCGCCACGTGTCTACACGGCTGCTCCTGCGCCTTCAAAACGATTTTTTTTCTCTGATTATAAAAATGCCATATGTTTGAGGGAGGCGCAGATTAGTCTAAAGTGTGCTCAATTTAAGACGTTAATCTAAAGACGGTGACGACGCAGACGATTTAAGTGGTAGGCACAAAACAGGGTCGGGGATGAAAGGCCCGGAGAAAGCAAGGTCACCCGATGCCCATGCAGAGATGACGGGCTGATGTGTGGTCTTTGCCAACCATTGTTCCGCGAAGATCCGCATCAAATTGTGTAACACACAAGCACGCCCACGGGTGGGGCACGCACACAGGCACACCAGGGTGGCACCATACCCTCTCTTGTTCCCTGATCCCCTGTTATCCGTATTTCACGTCTCGCTAATATGCTCCTGTGTGATGAGCCCTGCACACAGCGGTGGTGCCGGTGACCCTTGCCCACGGCTGGGGGACTGCCACATCTCTCCGTCTGTGCCACGCTTTCCTAAGGGGTCGAGGCAGAGCCTGCAGGCTCCCTGTATCCCATCAGATATGAACCTGGCGGTTGTAGCATGCCCTTCGGGTCACCGTCACTCCCGACCGCCACGCCGAAGCCTGTCTGCTCCTCGTTCCAGCGGCCTGGTGCCGGGCAGCTGGCGCCTGAGGCGCGCGTGGGGCCGGCCGAGGAGGCGCCCTACCCGCGGGAAGCGGGCCCCTGCCCGACAATTCTGCCGGCCTCACCCCTTGGCATGAACCCCCGTTCGCCTCGGGGGTTGACCCTGCAAAGCCGGACACCCTGGAAAGAAAGTCTCGAAGGTTCTGAACATTGCTGCACCTCTAAGCGGTCCATCTGATTTGATCCGAGAGCCTCCTTTGCCAGAAGTCCCAGTATCCAGGCTGCTTTGCACCCTCTCCCCGGGGCTGCTTGTCCAGGGCGAACTGCCTGTGTCCACTTTCACGGCCCAGGCCCCGCGAGAGGCCGGGGTTCATAGCCTGGAGCCCCGGTCGTGCGCAGGTTGGGCCTGGTGGAGGAGCTGAGCCGGCAGCCGGGCTCCCACAACCGCAGGGGAAGGAGGCTGGTGCCAGAGAGCCCAGGAGCTCCCTCCCGAGCGCCCAGGCCTGAGCCGGCTCACCCTGGCAAGGCAGCCCATCAAGCAGGGAGGAGGGCCTGCCACTGCCCAGCAGCAGGGCCGGTGGGGGGGCAGACGCTGGGCGAGTGGACCAGGAGACACAGGGAACCGGGAGCAGAGCTGTGTCTGTGTGGAGAGAGGGGAGCGACCCTCCCCTGGGGTGTGCCTCCCCGTGTTTCCCACAAGGATCAGAGGAGGGCTGCATCACCGACACTGGTGATGCGCCCGGGCCCTGACTCCTTCCTCAGACAGAAAGGACGTGCTTACGCTGGTGAGCTGAGCACACCGGTGAGCTGAGCACACCGGTCACCATCGCCCCTGCCTCCCGCACACCGCCCTGGGGAGGAGGAGTGGGCAGCTTTGCTCTGCAAGTCCCACGCCTGCCACAGCCCCTGACTGCGGGCTGGGCGGGGCATGGTTGGCATTTTCAGCCATGGCAGTTGAGGCCCAGGCAGCGAAGGGCCCCCAGACAGGACAAGGCCCCAGGTCCCCTGTGTCTCTGCTGCTGCCGCCAGGCCACCTTCCCTGGAGACCCCACGTGTTTCCTGTTGTCCCCAATCTCTGTGGTGGTGGCAGGACGCCTGCAGCCAGGCTGGGACTCTGAAACCAGCAAGCGCGGTGTTGGTGTTTGCACACTTGAGCTTGGGGGTGGCACTGGGCAGTGGCCCGGGGAGGGTGACAGCGGCCCAGCCAAGCGCGAACCCTTCCTCCTGGCATCGGAGCCCAATGCCACTGTCTGCCTCGGAAGGAAAACGTGCGTGGGCCGGGACGTGGCACATGTCTGGGTGTGAGCCCACCCCAGGGGCACACCGTGTCCCCGCAGAAAACACACCTTTTCTTACCCCAGCTTTAAAAAGTGGGCCATTTGCAGGCCCTGGGGACCACTGGAGTGGACCAACTGAACGCACTTGGCCTTAAGCATCTTTCTCTACAAGTGAGTTAAAAGGAGAACCTGCATGCGTTTCCTACTCCTAAAAGGCAATTTCCAAAGTTCAGCTTAAAAAAAAAAGTATGCCAGCTTAAAAATGCAGGGGCTCTCAGAACACAAGCGAGAGGCCCCTCCCCTTGTGCTGGAGTCACCGGAGTGGCCTAAAATAAAGGAGCTAAATGTTGTGCGCTGAGCAAAGTCTCCGGCCCGGCTCCTCTCGGGGCACAGTGAGACGGCCCAGCCGCCGCACACACCCCGGTGTCCTGCCGGGCGCTGCCTGGGGATTTTAACAGAGGTAGCACCATCTCCCGGTTCTAGTTAGTGTCAGTCTAAACGAGGATCACCTTGCACAAATCCATAAAGCAGCGGCAACAGGTCAGACAGCGCGTTGGAGGCATTGATTTCCCCGGGGAGAACCGGCCTTGGAATTTCTAAGCTGCATGTGCAGGGGCCCATTCCCCACAGGCCCCTTGTCTGCGCCCTCTGAGCCCCAGGGTCTGTGCCGGGCTGCGTTTTATACCTTTGGGGGCAAGTTACTGTCTCACCGTGTCACAGATGGAGCGGCGGCCCCCTCCCTCACTCGGGCTCTAGGATGCGACCTGGGGTGGGGGGTGGGGGCTATGTCACCGCTAGGGGGAATGCTGCACCAGGCCCCCCTTCAGAGAAGCCTCAGATGGGGCCAGGACATGACTAATTTATTTTATCCTATCCATCTCTCCACGCACAGGATTGAAATATTTATGCCAGTCTGTTTGCTTCAACACGGACGGCCACAGACACCCACTTCAGGGCGGGCCGTGGCTTCGTTTGTCGCCGTGTTGTGGCTTTTTATTGTTTCCGAAAACGCACGGTCGCTGGATGGTGCCCACCCTGCAATGCTGACGGCGCACGTGGCTCCCCAGCTCCCAGGAATACCCCTCCCAGGCTGCACGCACTGCCCAGCCGGCCCGCTTCCCACGAGAGGCCAGCGAAATCCTGCAGGCCCGAGCTGCTCCTCCAGCAGCCGCCGGCCCGGGAGGGGGCGGGGCACCAGGGCCTGGCAAGGATGCGCCAGCCAGGCTGCCAGGTAGGCGGCAGGCAGCAGGGGGTTAACGCGGGCCGGTAGGGGGACACAAACAAAAGCCCTCAGGCAGGCTGGGCAGGGGAAACCGGGGGGCAGCAGGGCCCAGCCCGACGGGCGCAGACACAGGGGCTCTGTCTGCCTGCCCGCTGGCCTGGCACTGTGGCTCACTGCCCCGCTATTGTGAGCCTGAAGCCAGCCCTTTGTAGGGTCCCCTTTCCAGCAGCCCTGGGATTCTGGAAGCCTCCGGCCCAACACCCACACTCGCGGCCTTGTCCTCTCTCAGGGCCGAGCAGGGCCAGCAGCAAAAAGGAAGCCCAGAGCCGAAAGACAGCGCGACTCCGCGGGGGGCACCGCATTGCCCAGGGCAGCAGCAGCCGCTGCCCCTCGTCCGTCACGGGGTGGCGAGCCCTGGAGCTGTGGGGTCTGAACTGAGCCGCTTGTGCAAGGACTTCGTGTGAGCAGAACGTAAAATACCCCATTAGTGACCTCCGTTTGCTCCACCCCGGAACGGCACGACCCTGTCTAGAGAGGAGGAGCGTCATTCCTCAGGTGACTCTCCCCTGGCTGCGAGAACACGTGGCCTCCCTGGGCCGCACCGTGCCGGCCCAGGGGTGCAGAGGGCTGGGAGCGGGCCTGGGGAGTCACAGCTGCCCCCCAGCACCTTCTCAGGCTCACTGCCACGCTGTCCCCTGACCCTGCCCTGTGTTCCCCTGTGTCCAGACGTGAGACTTCCACATTCAGGCACACACATGCAGAGACACGCAGGCACACACACACAGGCACACACGGCCCAGGCTCCTCTCCACGCCAGGAGCCCCCAGCTCTGCCAAGCCAGACTCCCAGGGCACCCACAGACCTTCCAGGAGCCCTCTCCTCCACGAAGATCAAAGATTGCATTTTACTACCACGTCGCATTCGAGACCGCTGTAACCCAGGCTGATTCGTGATTACATATGTTCATCGTGTTTATAGTTTTTCTTCTGATTGTAAAAGAAGTTAAAATTAAGGCTTTTTGTGGCCCTCAGTGTTGGGCCTGGGGGCAGGGGGCCAGGAGCAGCCCCACCGTCCTGCTCCCTCTCAGAGGCGTTCCCCAAACCCTGCCCCAGTGCCCAAGGGTGCAGCCCCCGCCAGACACCAGAAAGCATCCTCCATTATTTTCCAACACAGAAATCCACGATGAGAATGGCCCAGGAGCCCGACACTGCCCAAGGCCGCGTGTCAGTGTGGACCAAGCCTGGAGGAGCACCGCACTGGGGCTCGGGCACTACCTTCAGCCCCGAGAGGGGGAGCCGGGAGCAGGCGATGACAGCCTGGGCAGCGCCAGGCACCGGGCACCAAGACCTCCCGGCTCCAACCCGCCTCTGCCCCGTGCTCAGGAGGCCTGGCTTCCCGCACACCCCGAGAAAGGCATCTGGCGCTTCCCTTGGGGCCAGGGCCCGGGCAGGCCAGGCCCTCCTGTGGACGGGTGGTGGGTGCAGGAGATGGTTAAAATTCTGCATCCCTTTCGCATCCGCCTCCGGAGGAAGCTCCGCTTTTTTTTCCCCCCAAGCAGGAGGGGGAAGAGCTGAGAGCAGCAATTTGCAGGCCTGGAGATGTTTTTCTCCTTGACAGCCTGGCCCCGCCTGCTCGGGGCTGCCTGCTGGCCAGCCGGGCTGCAGCGGCTGCGGCTCTTGGTGTCTGCCGCTCCCGCTGGGCCTCCCCGCGGAGCCCGGGCCAGGCCGCAGCAGGAGAGAGGCCGGCCCGGGCCAGGCGGGCTGCGGGTACGGCCTTGGTGCCCGCCTCCTCTGTCAGCCTGCCTCTCCCCCCCGACCAGGCCCGCGCCCAGCGCAGCCGCACCGCCTGCTGCCTGCTTAGTGCCCACCCTGCGCCCTCCGGGGGTGCCCTCACCTTCTGGGCCCCCGGGGCCCCGGCCTCGGGTCCTGCGTGTGCTCAGGGCGCCCAGCCACGTCCTCGGCGCCTCTGCCGCACGCCCCACCCTGCTGCCCGCGCTCGGCGGCGAGCCTGGCGTGGTGCCAGGCCGCCTGGGAGCCCAGCCCGGGCAGGGCGAACTTTCCAGCAAGGGTGTGTATGGGGGGGGGGGCGGTGCGGGGTGAGGGTGGTGCCAGGGGAGGGAGAGGGCCCCAGGTGCCCGGCGGCCACCCCCCAGCCCCCGCCCCAGAGTCCCACAAAGACGCAGACAACACGAGCCGCTTAGTCAAAACAGTCATGTGCAGGAGCCGGCAAACAAACAAAAGCCCTTATTTATTTATTTAGTTCACACGCCAGATAAGGAGGTTCCTTTTGTGCACGTAATTTCACACGCATCCGGGCGGCGGCCTCGCGAGCCCCCTGAGTCCCTGCGCGGTCCCGGCCTGGCATCTCCACATTTACCTTGGGCAGCAGCGTATGATTAATTAAGAGGGAAAAAGGCAAGAAGAGGCAGCACGGCGGTGGGGGTGGGGAGCCGGACCTCGCGGGCCCGGCGACGTGCCGACGTGCCAACGTGCCCGCCGCCGCTTAACTCCTCCCACGCCGGCCAGAGGGGCCTGCGGTCACCGGCCTCTCGCCCTTCCGCCCTGGGGTGCAGAGCCCGTGTCGGGTGCCGCGGGAAGCTTCACCTCCTTATTCTGTTACTCGAAGCAGCTCCCCCAAACCGGTGCGGGGCTGGGCTGGAAAGGAGGCGCCCCAGAGCCCCCAGCAGAGGGGACAGGCTTGGCCTGGGCCTGCCACACCTTCTCCCCCGTATCCCCCACCCTCTCGGGAGCCCCTCTCGGAAGGGCCAGCCGGGACCCTCTGTCCCTGGGAGCCACAGGGTGTTCTGGGGCTGCAGGAAGGCGCGCGCCCTTCTGGGAAGAATCCAGGCTCTTGTCTCACTCAGAACAAGGAAAGGCTGCACCCCTGCAGGCAAGAGGCAGATGCCAACCTCACCAGGGCGCAGCCCTGCCCCTGCCAGCTGTGTGGCCTTGGGCACATCCTCTGGCCTCTCTGGGCCTCCGGCTGCCCACATGAAAAACAGCGCCCACCAGTCCCACCTGCACGGGGCCAGCATAAGAAGCAGAGAACCTGCCTCGGCTCCCAGAAGTCCAGACAGACCCGACACCCCCCAGCCCTGCCTCTGCAGAGGCCCCAGGACAGTGGTCAGCAACCGGGGAAGGCGGGCCGTGGCCGTGGAGACCCGGTCGTGCTGAGTGCATTCCAGGGCTTCCTGGGGCTCCGAGGGCTCTGGGCAGGCTCTCCTGGGCAGCAGTGTCGGGACCATCATTCCCAGGCACAGAGAGCTGGGCAGTGCGCCCGAGCCCCCCGCCCTGCCCCACAGTGGTGGCATCGGGACTTGAACTCAGAACAGCCAGGCTGCATACCAGCCCTGCCAGCCACCCCACTGTGCACTGTGCTTTCTGCAAAGCGGGGCGAGCCGCGGCAGAGGGGCGCAGGGGGCAAGGCAGACGGAGCTCGGGGCAAGAGCGCTCTTCCACGGAGCTGTGTGTCCTTGGGCAGGCGCACGCATGTCTCTGAGGCTCTCTCCATCTCTGCAGTCAGAGGTGAGTCCGGTGCTTCTGGCCTGTGCCACAGGGCTCTGCAGGGACCAGCTGCCCGCTGCCTGCTCGCGAGCCTGTCCCCCGCACGCCTCGGGGCCCGAGGAGGGAAGCAGTGCCCCTCTGACAGCTCCAGCTTCCCCAGCTGCAGAGCGGAAGCAGATGCTCGCATCGCACTCAGCCTGCGGAGGGGAGCAGGGAACCTCCAGAGGGGCGCCTGGCCCGCGAGATGCTCCGGCATGCTGGCCCCTGGCCCCCACTCTTCTCCCAGACACGGGAGGGGCTCGGGGCAGGGGCCTCCAGCCGCTGCCCCACCCCACGGGCCAGGCCTCTGTGGCCTCGGACTCCTCCCAGTGTGACCGTGTGCAGGTTCCAGAGTGAAAGCAGGGCGGGAGGAGCGTGCGGAGTGGGGGAGCCCTCGGCTTTCTCGGTGCGCCCTCGGGTGGGCAGAAGGACAGCCCCTAGGTGCCCTCCTGCCCTGGTCCCTGGAGGCTGTGAACGTGTCACTCACAAGACAAAAGGGACCTGCAGGTGTGACGGAGAGAAGAGCCGGATGGGCCCATTCCCGTCACACGCACCCCTGAAAACCCAGGGCAGAGACAGAGCGAGGCAACTCTGCCCACTCTGAAGACGGACGCAGGGACTGGGGGCCGGGCCGGGAGGTGCAGGTGCCTGTGCAGGCCAGAAAAGGCAAGGGAACGCTGGTGCCCGGAGCCTCTGGGGAACGTGAACCCCACAGGCCCACGCTGGGCTCTGAGCTGTATGAGGGGGGAGAGCAGCCGTGGAAAGCAGTGTGCACCCCTCCCCCCCACACACACCCAGGCCCTCCCCGAGGGAAGGACACGCGGGACCCAGGGGCTGGGCAGTGTCGTGTGTGACAGTGGGGGGGCAGAAGGCTCCGGCGCTGGATGCTGACCCGTCTGAGGCCTGGGAGCTGGGCGGGGCCCCGTTTGGGGGGGGGCATCTGCGTGTGGCTTCCTAGGCGCCTGGAAAGAGTCCTTGTTCCCAAGCACTGAAAGTGTTCTAGACTCAGTGGGGAACATCAGAGACGGCCCTGCGGGAAACACGGCCGTGCAGAAGGCCCCGTGCAGAAGGCGGCCGCGTCGCTGTGGCGGAGCTGTGCGCCACCGTCCCCGGGTGAGCAGCCGCCCGGGCCAGGGCTGCAAGTGTGTGACTGGCCCCTGTGCTCGGAAGGGCCCTGGGCTGGGTTGACGCCCTGTGGCCTCTGCGTTGACAGTCCGAGTCAGTTCTAATGCAGGCCCCAGGTTTTCCTCTCGCACGGGGCCCTGCGGGGCACAGCAGGGGCTTCCCAGCACCCCAGTCACAGCGGCCACTCCTTCTAGAAGGTTGCCTTTATTTCCCTCCCGGTGACTCCTTTTCTTCTGTTTTGTCCAGGTTCTCCAAGAGCCGGGGCCTGGGCAGTCTCACCCCAGAAAATCCAGGCCTGGAGCTGCTGTCCCCAGGGAGGTGGGTGGGGTCCCCAGCGCAGCCCTGGTGTCGCTAACCAGAAAGGGGAAGCAAGGCACTGCTCTGCGTCAGTCACTCACCGAGGTTTTTCTGGAGACAAAAATGAGCACCTCACCGAGTTTTCAGGACCTACTTATAGGGGGGGGATTCCCCAGAGAAACTGGTGCCACTGCCTGCAGAGCAGTCCCACGCTGGCCCTGTGGGTTAAAGATGTCTGGAGCCTCCATCCTGCAGAGAGGGAGTGAGCTGCCTGTCTCTGGAGGCATTCAACAAAGACTGCACAGCCTGATGGAGTCATCACTCCAGGCATCCAGCAGCCTCTCAAGAGAGGGCTGGTGTCCACCTCACCCCGGAGGTGTGGGGCTCCAGACAGGAGCGTGCGCACGGGGCGGGGTCTCTGTGCAGAAGGGCAGGGAGGGGTCGACAGCTGAGAGCTGACAGGAGGTGCAAGAGAGAAGAGAGGTGTTCCCGGTTGCCCCAGCAGCAGGCGACTGAGGGAGGCCGGGAGCCAGGTGTCCTGGGCGCCCGTGGAGCAGCAGCAGCCCTGGTTGACCGAGAGCCCGCTGTGTGCGAGGGGCACCCTAAGTGTCCACAGGGCTATCACGGCAACACCGCCGCGGCAGAACTGGGGAGCCCATTTTACGGGTGAAGAAACCGAGGCTCTGAAGATGAGTGCTCGCACCTGCCCCACGGCGGAGCCGGCTCTCGAGCCAGGGCTCCCCCAGGCCTGTGTGAGGCTGCGGGTCTGCCACCAGAGTGTGGAGGAAGTTCAAGTTCAGGTCACTGTCCTCGTCCTGCCTTTCCTTCCTTAGACGCTGACACTGAGGGCAGGGCCTGAGCGGGCACGGAAGTGCCTCCTGGACGCCGGGTGGGCCGGGCAGCTTCCCCCAGAGAGACTGAACTTCTGGATGCCACAGGTAAGCACACCTGGCCTTGAAGAGGCGGGCTGCGGTCAGGGGTCAGCAGTCAGGGGCTACGCACCTCCGCCCTCCCACTTCCCACAGCTGGTGCAGGGAGGGACTCCACCATTGCCCTGTGGTAGGGGGTGAGTGAGTGAAGGGTGTGGCTCCTCTACCCCCAGTGCTTTCAGATAGGGGACCCCCCACGCTCAAATCCGGAAGCTCCAGTCCCCCCATGGCTGGAACAGGAGTGTGGCCTCCACTGAGAAGGCCTGGGCTCCCCACAGCCTGCGGCCCCTCAGGCCTGCCTGTCTGGGGACCTGCTGTTGAGTCCAGGAGTGCGGGGCTACCAGAGGGAAAGTGGTGGACACAGCCGATGAGGGGAGCAAGCCTGCCAGGTGCTGCTGCAGTGGTGGGGGCGCCTGGTCAACCCAGGAGGCTCACAGAGCCCCAGGGGCTTTGCCACTGCTGTCCTCCACCCCATGGGAGCCCCCAGGCAAAGGCAAGGCCTGGGGTGGGGAGCAGCGGGGTGGGGGGGCAGGTAGCACGCCCCCCTCCTCCCCAGGGATGGCCCTGCAGGGCCAGGCTCCTTCTTTCTCCCAGGTCTGCGGCTGCCCGGCCGTGTATAACCACGTGCCCTGCACACCCTGGCTACCCAAACCCAGCAGATAGGGTGCTGGCCGCAGGGCTCCGCTCGGGCTGGGAGGGCCCCCTAGGATGCCGCAGCTGGCGGTGCAGATGGGAGCGGGGACCGCTGAGCCCCCCGCCCACTGGTGAGGGAGCAGAGGGAGCAGCTGCGCGGTCCCCAGCCCTGCAGGCCCTGGCTTCGTGCACAGCCCAGGCCTTGGAGGGTTAACACCCAACGCCAAGCCGCCTGGTGCCGCCTCCTGGAGAGGAAAACCGGATCTTTCCCCTTTAAGAGCCCAGCGCCCAAGGGGAGGGGAAATGTGGAGAAAGATTCCCCCTCGGAACTTCCCGAGTCTTTGTTTGCCAGGAGGAGGCCGAGGGAGGAGGCTGGGGCTCTGCCTTGGCTCTTAGGCGGCCGCGACACCCTCCTGCCTGCCACCCCTGCTCACCACACCGGTACTCCCTCCCAGCATGCAGTGCACCCTGGACCTTGGACCCAGCCCCAGGCCCCAGACCCAGTTCCTGGACCCAGGAGGTGCCCAGGGCGCTGGGTAGAGGCGGAGCCACTTACCCTCCTGCCCCCACCCCTGCAGTCCTGGCAGCTGGTGCTGCGGTCAAGTTCATGTTCACCGCCCCACACCAAGGTCCTAGTGCAGGTGGGTTGCAGTGAAGCTGAGAGGGCCATGGCACAGGTCACTGCCCGGCCTGCCGGCATTGCTGTCCCCCTGCTGGTGCCAACCCTGAGTTGGAAGTTTCTGGGCTTCCCAGTAGCTGGGCTAGGTGACATGTGAGCTTGGCCAGAGAGGGAGGTGGGGAGACATGCAGGGAGAGTGCATTCGTCTGTCCAGGGAGGCGCTCACTGTTCTGTTTTCCTACAAGGCAAACAAGCCAGGGGACTGGACCTTCCTGGTGCCTGGGCCCCATACCCAGGGAACCGCCCCAGGGGCCTGGCCAGGGAGGCCCGAGGGGTGAGGGGACTGACTCTCAGATCACCTCACCAAGCGGCGGCAGCAGGTGGAGGCACGGTGCTTAGTTCCCGGGGAGCTCTGAGGTTGGAGGGAACACAGCGGAGCCCACGGACTCCTGCGAGTGGTATTGGAGGGGCTGCTCAATGCTTGAGGTCCCCACGGTTGGCTGGCCCAGCCCCGATCCTCGGCTCCCACGCTGCTGGCTTTGAGCCTTCCCAGGGCAGGGTCCTGGGGACACATCTGGGGAAACTGAGTGGCCCTGGGCCTGGGCATCTGTCACGTGGCCAAGCCCAGTCCCTGGAGACTGTGAGGGCCCTGTGGGCACTGGGACAGGCACGGAGCGGGGCCTCCAGCTGCCTGCTGGCCCTGGTTATCCCGGGCTGCCTGTGTCCATCCATTGTCCCCACAAGAGCTGGTTACAGAGGAAATGCTGGGTGCGGGCCTGCTGCTCTAGAGCATGATTTTTTTTTTTTTTTAAGAAAAATGAAGACGGGGTGAAGGAGGCTGAGGTGGAGTCGGGCGAAGTCGTCCCTTCTGCCCCCAAAGGGGTGCTCCCTAGAAGAGCTGGGAGCCGCCTCTGGGGGGACGTCTTCTCCAAGGCACTCCTCCTGGCATGGGCCCTGGGCCTGCACGCGTGGGCTACACAGCGCCTGATGCTGCGGCCCCCCCTTCTAGGAACTCCAGTGCTTGGCATGGGGCTGACACAGAGCTGGGCAGGCACGGCAGGTGCTGGCTGGGACGGCTCACGGAGCCCCTGTTTGCGGAGCCGCCGACGTTGCTTGTGCGTGGAGGCTGCCAGTGGACCCAGCTCAGTCCCAGGCCACCGTGCGCCTCTTCTAGGGGGGCCACCTTGCTGGTGAAGCCCAGGACCTGTTCCGGAACAGGCGCCGGCACCAGCTTCTCTCTCCCGAGACGGATGGAGGCTGCTCACCTGAAGCACTGCGAGGCAGGGTGCTGACACCCCAGGGAGCTCATGGCGCCTCGTCCAGGGCCCGGCCCTCTCCCCGGGACGCGCCGTCCTCCCCAGGGGCTCCAAGCCTCGGAGGCTGCTGCTCCGTATTCTGGGGACTGGAGACTGCACTGGGAACTCCAGTCTCCCGGAAGTTTGACCCCACTGCTTTCTGTCCAGGGGCCACTGGCGCTGTTTGTCGCAGGGGGCCCCCCTCTGGCCTCTGGCGGCCCAGCGTCGCCCTGTCCAGAGCCAGCTCACTTGCCCAGGGCCCCGTGGACAGAGAGGCCCCTCCTGTTGGAAGAAGGAGCCCCGAGTTTCGTTTACTGAAGCTCCTTTCCAGGAATAAGTCCAGGTTCTGTGCAAGCAAGATGCAGCTGCTCTGACGGAAGACCACGTGCTGGGGAAGCCGCCAGCTGGGAGGCGCAGGGAGCTGTCAGGAAAATACTAGAATCCTGGGACCTGGGACATCCCCCAGCCCCCGGCTGTGCCTCTCACCGCTGAGGGCCACTCAGAGCCTCTCATTCCCTGCACGCGGGGTCAGCCCCCCACCCCGACCCCGGGAGGGGATTTGAGGACCGGCCCGGCGGGAAGGCTGAGCAGGGATCCTGCAGCGTCCCAGGTTGTAGTCAGCATGTGATGTGACAGCTCGGGTGCGGTTTGATTATTTTTCATTTTTAATTTGAGGCAGAGAGAGACAGACAGACAGATGGACAGAGCTCCCCACCCACGGGCACCCTCCCCGCTGCCCACAGAGCCCAGGATTGGCCCAGAATTCGGTCGAGACCTTCCACCTGAGTGCAGGTCCCCAACCATCGGAGCCAGGGTCTGCCCCGCCAGGAGCCAAGCCCAGGTGCTCCGCCGTGGGACGGAGGGGTCCTAACTGCCCCTCACCCGCCAGGCCCTGGTTACTTCCAATACAGCAATGTGCTTCAGGAGGTTCGTGGGAAACGGAATGAAAGATGTTTATTTTGTTGCAGAAAATATTTGAAATCAAAAAAAGTTCACGAGAGATGTGTATTATCTAAAAACTACGTGTGGATTTAAAAACTGTGTACACCACAAATAGTCTTTAATTCCATTTTCCGCAAACTTTTTTAAAAAAGGATTTATTATTTACTTACTTACTTAATTTGAAAGTCAGAGAGAGACAGAGAGATCTTCTATCTTCTGGCTCACTCCCCAAATGCCCCAGCACCCGAGACTGGGCCAAACCGGAGCCCAGAGCCAGGAGCGCCATGTGGGTCTCCCAGGTGGGTGTCAGGAACTCAAGCCCTTGAGCTGTGAGCTGCTGCTTCCCAGGTGCACTTGCGGGGAGCTGGACCGGAAGCGGCCAGCGCCCCGACACGTGTCCCCGAATCACTGTGCACAGCGCCAGCCAGCACACGCTCTCAAGTGCTAAGTGCCTTGCTCTTCCTGTCAGGCAGAGGAGACGTTTCCGGGTTCCCTCCAGGCCGCCGCGTCAGAGCGGGGCTGCACAGCGACACACAAGCACTGTGTGCTCTTTTAGGTGGAGCCGCTCGGGAGGCCCCGCAGAACCTGGGCAGAGCGAGAGGCAGCCGTGCCTGTGATCCGTCCAGGCTGACCACACTCCAACCCTCGCCCAAGCTCTGGATCACAGGGCCCGGCCTGCGGGACGTTGCGGGCACAGGGCCTGCGGCGTCCTTTGCCAGCTCTTGCCTGAGCGCTCCCGTCTGTGACTCGGGCTTTAAAAAGTGACTCTTGGGGCTGGTGCAGTAGGTTAGCCTCCACCTGCACTGCCAGCATCCCAAATGGCTGCCGGTTCGAATCCCGGCTGCTCCTCTGCCCATCCAGCGCTCTCCTGTGGACTGGGAAAGCAGAAGATGGCCCAAGTCCTTGGGCCCCTGCACCCATGTGAGAGACCCAGAGGAAGCTCCTGGCTCCTGGCTTTGGATCGACCCAGCTCCGGCTGTTGCAGCCATTTGGGAGTGAACCAGCGGATGGAAGACCTCTCTCTCTGTCTCTCCCTCTGTCTCTAATTCTACCTCTCAAATAAATATTTTTTTTTAAATTGACTTTTAACAGTCTTGGGCTCTTATTTTACTTCCTCAGGCTGTTGAAGGATCTGTTTGCCCGAGATGGGGAAAGAAACCAAAGGGACCTGGTCTCCTCCTTGGCACCTCCATGGGGCTGGCCCAAGAGAGAGGAGGGCCAGGGTGTGTGTGTGTGTGTCCCAGCAGCTACACACACAGGCAGGGCCCTCTTCTGAGTTCAAGGTGAACTGTTAAGCCTGGCCAGGCTGATGGGGTCACTGAATTCCCAGGAACCTGCAGCAGACCCCAAACTCAGCCTGCACTTACCAGCCACTGGGACCCAGGAACCCCTGGGAACCCGGGTTGGACACCAGTGAGAGTCCAGGCAAGGGGTTGTTGGAGCTGCACCAGAGACCGGCCAGTGGCTCCTGGTGGTCACTTCTCATCCATGTGCCTTGAGTGATGACAAACTGTGACTTCACAGGAAGGCGAGCATGTCTGACCTCCAGGGTCACTGGTACAGGGGCTGAGGGAACTGAACCCCGACCCCAGGCCTCCCTCAGGGCAGTGCAGGAGACCGGCACATTTGGGAAAGGCACAGGGGGTCGTGGGTTCTGGGGCTCGGGGCTCCTGCCCTGCATCAGAAGCTTGGCAACACCAGTGGGCGTGGCAGCCCGTAAGAGGGACCTGGCACAGAAGCAAAGCCAAGACGGCAGGGGCAGCCCACCTCGCGTGCCCTCCCCACATGGCCGCCTCCCAAGCATCCCCCAGGTCCTGTTCCTGGAGCCCAGCCCCAGGTCCCCAGGCTGCCACAGCTGTAAGTGGAAGGAGGTGTGCTGGTTTTCAGTTTGTTTATCCAAAGAAGTGTTCGTTACAGAAAGACTGGAAATACAGAGAAGCACAAGAAACCAAAGTTACCTGTGAGACAATCACCGGGTATGGTTTGTGGAAAGTCCTGGCGTGGTTTCCACGCCGTGCGCGTGAGTGTGGGTGTGCATGCACTTGTCCCTGGACATCCACTGGGCACCGACGCTCAAGTCCATTACATAAAGCTGTGTAGCACTGCACAGGCACCGCACATCTCCTGTCTGTGTCACCTGTAGGTTACCCATAATACCTAGCACTGTGTTTATGGAATGATGATGAGAGTAAGAGTCTACGCGTTCAGTACAGACACCATTTTCCAAATCTGGGAGGTAGACACAAAGAGGGTGAGCCCCCATCCTCGGGTCACCCCTCAAATGCCTGCAGTGGCTGACGCTGGGCTGGGCTAAAGCCAGGAGCCAGGAACTCAACCCAGGACTCCCGTGGCGGTGACAGGAACCCAACTACTCAAACAATTGCTTGTTGCCTTCCAGGCTCCGCATCAACAGGAAGCCAGATCTGGGACTCCAATCCAGGCACCCAGTGGGGGACCCAGGACCTCAACTCACCCCAGCACCACCACCCGAATCTGCGGGTGCAGAACCTGAGGCTGCAGAGGGCAGACTATACCGAGTAACCTCGCCTTACCGTAGGTTGTAAACGTCTACATTCATACCATGTACTTACAGTTACAATGTAACCTTTAGATATTTACATACACATGTTTACACCCATCAGGCCACACAGCAGGTTATTTCAGAATCTTTTTAACATCTTGTGAGAAGTCTGTTATTAAATGCTTTTTCTCGGGCCTGCGCTGCGGGTTCATGCGCTGGCTTGAAGCACCGGCATCCCACGTGGGCGCCCGTTTAAGACCTGGCTGCTTCACTTCTGATCCAGCTCCCTGCTAATGCACCTGGGAAAGCAGTGGAAGATGGGCCAAGTCCTTGGGCCCCTGCACCCATGTGGGAGACCAGGAAGAAGCTCCTGGCTTTGGATGGGCACAGCTCTGGCTGTTGCGGCCATTTGGGGAGTGAACCAGTAGATGGAAGACCTCTCTGTCTGTCTCTACCTCTCTGTAACTCTGTCTTTCAAATAAATAGACCTTTGTTGGGTTGTTCCACATCTGCCTCTGCTGCTGTCCACACCCTGGGAGGCAGTGGTGATGGCTGGAGGGATCGGGGCCCTGCCACTTCCGTGGGACCTGGACTGAGCTCCTGGCTCCCCGCTCCTACTGGGCACCCTGGTGTCCACGTGCGGTTCAGTCACTGCTCAGCTGCAGAGGCTGGCTTGCATGTCCGTCTACTGATGCACAGCTGGGTTCTGGTTCAGTTGGTTGTTTTGCTCGGTGATTGTGAACAGAACTTCGTGAACACCAATTAATTTCAAAATGTTTTAACAGGGGCCAGCATGGTGGCATAGCAGGTAAAAGCTGCTGCCTGCGATGTTGGCATCCCATTTGGGCGCCAGTTCGAGTCCCGACTGCTCCACTAAGCAGCAGCAGATGGCCCGGGGGTTTGAGGCCCTGTCACCCACATGAAGACCTGCAGAAGTCCTGGCTTTGGCCTGACCCAGCCCCAGCCACTGGGGAGTGAACCAGCGGGTGGACGACCTCTGCGCCTCCCCCTTTCTCTCAACTATTTCAAATAATAAATCATAAACAAGGAATGTTTTAGCAACACAACTGGCACGTCAGGAACACCATATGCTGGGGAGACCAAGGGCGGGACACACGAAGAGCCGGAGATCACGGCTGGTTAGAGCCAGGCTCGATCGCAGCTCACCCCACGGTACAGACAGCAGCTGAGGCTCAGAGTTAGGAACCTGCGGAGGTCACACAGCAGTGGGCACTCAGTCCTAGCACGCCCGTTCTTGGTGGACACCGGGCTCCAGCCTCCTCTGTGTGTGGCTCACCGGCCCCATCTGGAGCAGCTCGGGTGGAACTGACCGTGGGGACACACCGGCAGATCCACGCAGCACCGCGGTGCCCAGCGTCCCTGCGGGGCACTCTCCAGGCCCAGCCCACTGCTAGGTCCCCTTCCTAGCTACGACTGGTTTCGGCCCCAGTCGGCCCAGTCCAAGGCGACCTCTGTCCAAAAGAGGCGAAACCAGGGAGCGCCCATTCTGTTTAGAGGGGCCTGTCCAGTTCCCATGTTTTCTTCTTTAATATGCAGCCAAAAGCTTAAAAAAAAAAATGCAAAGTGCAACTTCCTCTCTGAGGTCCACTTAGGGCGGAGAAGATCTGCAGCTTCAGCCCCAGGCCAGGGCCCGTGTGTCCGCTCTGCTGCCCCCGGCCAGCCGGGACGGGCGCACACGGGCAGCCTCCAGCGCTGGGGGTGCGCGCGTGCACCGGGCCCCGCCTGCCCCACTGGCCCATCACGGGCCCATCACGGGCCCATCACGGGGCCTGGGCACCTGGAGGGGGTGCACTGGCAGGTCTGGGCTATCAGGGCGCCTGGACGTGGGGGTCTCCCAGAACTCAGGCCGCGCCCCTTCTCCCTGACCTTTGCTGCCCACGCCGCTGCGAAGCCCGCTGGCTTTGGCACTGCCCACGAGGGACAGGAGGGGCAGCAACTCCATCGCCCGGGGCTGGCCCTGCGAGGAGGGGGAGGCGCCTCGCCGCAAAGGGGGCGGCAGCAGTCACCGGCGAGGGCCGGAGTCGCGTCCGCGGTCCCCGCACCAGCGGGCCCCGCGGGCGCCTCCCGGACCTTCCCTTCGGGCCCGGGCGGGACCCCGAGCGCGCGACCAGGGCCCCTTTCCTGCGCGCCCCGAGCAGCCGGGGGCAGGCCGGGACAGGGACAAAAAGCACGGGAGGAAACGCGCACGAGCGCGCCGGGAAGCCCGCAGCGCCCCGGCGGAACCACCCGTCCCGGAAGCCGAGTCCCGGCTCGACGCGCGCACGCAGCCACGCACCACGCAGCCACGCAGCCGGGGGGCGGGGCCGGCCTCCGAAGCTCCGCCCAGGGCGCGGCGGGACGCGCGGACGCCGCGGCGCAGCCGAGGGGGCGGGGCCGGCGCGGGGGCGGGGCCTCGGACTTCCGGGACCGAGGGCGGCGGGGACGTAGACGCGCAGCGCGGTGGGCGTGGCCTCCGTGCGTCTGTTCTGCGCTCGGGCGCGGCGCCGCCATGCCGGCCTCGCTAGCGGCCGCCGCGTCCCCGAGTGGGGTTTACGCCTTTGGAAGTGTGACGGCGCCCCCGGGCTCTGCCGTCTCCCTTCCACGGGGCAGTGCTCGGGGCAGTACTGTGCCTCCTCCTAGGACGTCTTCAAAACAACGACTTCCATTCTACGAAGGCACACGCGTTGTTGGCAGAAAGTTCGGAAAGGAAAAAAAGGCCCGCGCTTCGGCCCCGCGGGATCAGCCGTGGTAGCGTGGCCTTCTTTCTTGCCCAAGATTCATTTATGTGAAGGAGTTAGAGAGAAAGCGAGCTTCCATCCGCTGGCTCGCTCCCCAAATGGCCTCAACGGCCAGGGCTGGGCCAGGAGCCAGGAGCTCCTTCCGGGGCTCCCACGCGGGTGCAGGGCCCCAGCACCCGGGCTGTCCTCGGCTGCTTGCCCAGGCCATCAGCAGAGAGCTGGGTTGGAAGTGGAGCAGCCGGGATTCGACCTAATGCCCGTGTGCGATGCTGGCACTGCAGGCAGCGGCTTTACCTCCTAGCCACAGTCATCCTCTTTCGATTTTTTTTTTTTTTTTTAGATTTATTTATTTGAAAGGCAGAGTTACAGAGAGAGAGGGCTTCCGTCCACTGGTTCACTCACCAAATGGCTGCAGTGGCCGGAGCTGCGCCAATCAGAAGCCAGGAGCTTCCTCTGGGTCTCCCACACGGGTGCAGGGGCCCAAGGACTTGGACCATCTTCTACTGCTTTCCTAGGCCATAGCAGAGAGCTGGATGGGAAGAGGAGCAGCTGGGAGCAGAACCGGAATCCACATGGGATACCGGCACTGCAGGTGCGTCACCCACTACGCCACAGTGCCAGCCCCCAGCCCTTTGCTGCCTGCAGTGACCTGGGCTCCATGGGCAGCCCTGCAGGTGGGGCAGGGCCAACTTCACTCACCCGAAGGACGCCGTCTGGGGTCCATGCTCCCTCGTTTGTCTAAGTCGTCGTGTGTGTTCCAGAACATTCCCTGGGGCGGGCCCCCCGGATGTGGAATTGGCGAGTCAGAGAAGGTAAACACGACACTTCTTGTAGCCACACCCTTTTTCTCTTTACATATTTTCCAGATTTAAAAATCAGCGAGTGTTTAAGTAAATGAGTCGAACAGAGGACTGCATGTGTCTATAAATATGTAAAATAAAGGGTCTCATAGAACACGTGAAGAGTTCTACAGCTAGCAGCAGGCTGTGCAGGATACGGATGGGCAGAGGACTCGGATGCCGTTGCTGCGGAATGAAAGACAAATGACCAGTGAGCTCCAGAAGTCCTTGGGGACATGCAGATCAAAGCCGGAGGAGCCAGCCCTTCGCACCCACCAGCCCTTCACACTCTGCCTCGACGACAGAGAATGACAGGTGCTGGTGCAGAAATGGGGACACTGGAGCCCCAGGGCTGGCGGGAGCGTGAAAGGGCGCGGCTGCTTTGCAGAACGGTCCGGGGTCCTCAGAGCTGAGCAGGAGCCTCCCCGGGGCCCAGGAGCCGCACCGGCACCCTGCAGCCTCGTCCCGGCAGACAGGCAGTGCGGCCGACCCAGACATCCATCAGTGGGCGAATGCAGACAGGCAGACGGCTGTCACTCAGCCCTAAAGAGCTGACTCGCGCTCCAACACAGTCAGCCTCGAGAAGTTTTCGCCAAATGAAATAAACCAGGTACAGCAGAAGGCAGTGTACGGTTCCTCCCGCATGAGGTGCCCAGAGCAGTCAAATTCCAGTGCCCACGGCAACCCGAGAGACACGATCCGGCGTGCCCTCACCCCAAACACTGAAGTGCAGGAAGACCAAACTCCCCGAAGTCTGAAGTCCTGAAATGACAGTCTTGCACAGCACAGTTTGGAAGAATCGAAAGATCGCGACATCTGGGGTGGTGCCTTGTGGGATCCAGGACGCAAGCCCGGCATATCGGCAGAGGTGGTTACCAGGTGCTGGCGGGGGGGGGGGGGGGTCTCTTAGCCAGGCACTGAGTTTCGTTTGGGGTGATGAAAAGTTGCGGAGTGGTTAGGGGTGGCGCCGCGCACGCGGCTGCAACGTTGGTGTTACCGTGTTTTACCTTACACAAAGTCAACCTGGGGAGAACAGGCTGATTTTTCCTGCATGCCGGCCGGCAGGCAGCCAGCCTGCTCCTGCTGGGTGACCTTGGCCGCGAGCTGAGGACGGGCCTCTGGGGAGCGCAGCTCTGGCCTCACCTGTAGCGTTTTCCACACCAGCTTCCAAGCTGGGAGAGCGAAACGTGGCTCTGGGAGGCGGTGAGTCACTCCAGATCTGTATCTGAACGTGGTCTTGTTTTGAATGTGGTCTTGTGCACACACGTGCACACACACATGCACACACACACGCATGCACACGTGATTCCCTCGTTCCCTCACGGTGTCCACAATCAGCGATTTTGGAAACAGACTAGCACCCACAAAGAAATATCAAAGACACCAAGGCCCAACCTGGAGATGTTGTTCCTGGCCTTTCTTCTCTGTTCAAAACACAGACTTACACTCACGGCCGGCTCGCGCCACGGTGTATAGCTTCTCAGGCACTAAGGTGCACCCGAGAATTCCCGGAGCAGGCTGTCCCACTGTCCCCAGGGCCCATGGAGCTTCTGTCCCCAGCTCTATGGGTCGGGCTGTCGGGGCCACAGGAACCCCTTAAGGTACTCCCGGGAGGGTGGATTTGCCTCTCAGAGGCACTTGAACGTGTCCTCGTGGGCCCTGCCATGGGTGCATTTCCACAGGACCAGCCGTGGGGCCCCACTGTGGTAAGCTGGGCCCAGTGCACGCCTCCGTCCACTATGGACGTCCATCTTTTTCTACCTTTGCGGCACAGTCCTGAGTCAGGTGGGCGGGAGCTCCGAGCTCTGCAGGACCAGGCTTGCGGCCTCGGGGTGGGGTGGGGAAGGCGCCACTCCAGACCCAGCCCCTGGGTGCAAGCCCGCGTGGGGCCTGGGCATCGTCTGGACCCCTCGCTGGTGGGTGCTGTCTCCCACCCCGCACGGTAGGCCAGGCAGGCTCTGCTCTGACTTGGAGGGTGGCATGGGCCCTCGTGGGTCAGCAGGATTGACCACGTCTTTGTAGGGAGGGGACACTTACACATACATCCCAGTGCTATGGGATTAGGCCTGTGAGCTAGAGGCCACACCCCCTGCCCCCATGGATCTCACCCGTGACCACCCAGCTGTCCATCAGACTACGCAAGCACTCCCCTTTTGGAGGTGAGTAAGAGGCTTGGAGAGCGCCCTTGCTGGGCTGTCCAGCCCAGGCCCGCCCCCCCTTAATAAGGCCCTCATGTTCCCGGTGTTCTCGTGTTCCCGTGTGGTTCTCTCACTTTCCGGATAAATCCTCAGCCTTAACGCAGCGCACCTTGTTTGAGCCGGTGCTTAGAATTCTCTAAGTAAACAGCAAAACCCGGAAATAGTCAATTTTGGCTCAGGTTAGCCCACAACACCAGGGCAGGTCCACAGCTCCCCACCTGGGGACCCCGACACCAGCGCTCCGGGGTGTCTCGTGGGGTGCTCCAGGCAGCACTGCTCTCGCCTGAGTCTCACAAACCCAGGGACGCTGGGGACACAAGCTCCAGGCCGGGCCCCTCCAAGCTCCGGGTCACGCGGCCCATCCCCCTCTGCCGGGCACGGGGCTCCTCCTCCCCAGGCACACAGCTCCTCCCTTGGCTTGAAGAAGCTGAGCAGGATTGGCCCCCGCTTCCCTGCAGCCCCCCATCTCGCCATCAGCGACCATGGCCTCCCTGAGTTTTCTCCGGCTGTGCCCTCTGAAGGGGGCACTGTGCTCTTCCCGTCCTCAGCTCCCGCCCCCTCGTTCCTACCCTGCAGCCACCCCCTCCTCCAGGAAGCTCACCAGAGTGGATGCCCCGGCCTTGACAAGCTCTTCCTGCCTTTGGATTCGGGCTCCATGTCTTTGCCTTGAGCCAAACCAGGCTGTGAGCTTCTGGACAGCGCAGGGGCTGCCGTGGGCGTGAGTCACGCTGTGTCTGTGGGGGCGAGGCCAGGACAGCACAGTCTGGTTAAAGCGAGTGGCTGAGCGCCGCCCGGAAGTTAGCCCAGCGGCGAACGACCTTCAGCTCTCAGCAAACAGGGCCTCAAAGGCAAAGGAGAGCCGGCAACGGAACCACCGAAAGCCTGGTCCCTGCTGCTCACTGGCGGGGTGGCCTTGGGCAGCGGTTGGCCCTTTCTGGGCCCCAGGCCAGGGAGCTCAGTGGTCACCCTGGACCTCTCAGCTCTGAGGCTGGCACAGGACCGCGTATCAGCAGAGCAGCCACGACACAGCCTGCCCTTGGAAGGGAAGCCGGTCCCCTCTAGAACATTCTGCAAGGCTCAGAGCAGACACCGCCCTGTGTCCCTTCCTCCTCGGGCAGCCTGAGCCCAGCTGCCTGTGGAGCAAGGACCCTGTGCCCTTGTGCACATGCGACACACGCACGCCCCTAGCCTGACACCGCGGGGACACACAGACACCACCAGAGAGGCCCGTGCCGCAGCTGCCCCAGGGCCCCTCCCTGCACCTGGCTCTCATCACGCTGACCAGCCAGTGCCCACCAGGATCGGCCTCAGGGAACCAGGCAGGAGACTCACCTGTTGTAAAGTGGTCAGGGTCCTTGCGGCGTCCCCGTCCCCGCTGGGGCCCAGCCACGGTCACCACGAGAGTGACCAGGATGTGGCGACAAACCGGCAGCTCTCAAAGGCCCTGGTCATGCGGCGTGCACCGGCCTTTGCCCAAAGATGGTCTTCCTGCGTTCTTCTGCTTAAAACCTGCTCCTGCAAAAGGGAGCGTTGACATTATTTTTCTAAGGGCCCGGGCAGGTGGAAATAGCTGGCCATCTCCAGGCGCTCCTGCAGTATTTCCTTTGACATCTGATGGCCCGTGCGTCCCCGACTGCGCGCTCCCCGCTGGGCCTCTCGGGAGCCATCAGGCGCCCACTCCCTACTTAGAGCCTGCACGGCTCCCTGGTGCTCTTAGGTTTGTTGCCGAATTCCTCAGCATGGCGTGCATATCCAGACGGGCAGGAAGAGGGAAGGATCCAGGCGGCTTCCTGGAGGAGGCAGCACCTGAGCCGGGTCCTTGCAGGATGTGCTTGCTGGTGAGAGGTGGGTGGAGAAGCCAGGGGCAGCCCGGGGAGGGCTTTCCACACGCAGGGGCTCTGTGTGCAGGACGGAGCTGGGCTGGTGGTGAACAGCCAGTAAGAGACCCTGCCGAGGGGGACGGGGATGAGGGCCACACAGGAAACTGAAGTGAGCGAGACAGGCCGGACGCAGAGGACGGGCATCCAGGCTCCCCCGTAAACCTACAGCAACGGTGCGCACCTCGCACACGGGGCCACACCGGGACAGGGGCTGGCAGGGGCCTGCACTTGGATCCAGCCGGCTCCCAGGCCAGACCCTGACTGAGGGCCCTGGCCTGAGGCGGAGGCCGCAGGGAGCTCGGCTGCCCAGCCTATAGGTGCCTCCCTGGCCCCCAGGGACAACCCGGGGAGACGGTGAGGGGGGGAGCGGCACCCAGGGGGCCCCCCAAGAAAGGCCCCGCGCCTCTTTCCAAGCAGGGCAAGGGCTGGATGTCCTGCCTGCCCCCACTGCTCCCCCACCCCCGGCTGGCAGACACCCTTCCCTGAGTGCTACTGTGCTGTGGGACTCAGCTCCTGCCCACACCAAGTGCCCAGTCCTGGTTACGGGTGATTTAACCCCCTGAGACCAGGGCGGTGATGGGGCAGCTCCCAGTGCCAAACCCTGCATCCGCGGGGGGGCTCCTCAACACCAGAGCACAAACCCAAATTTGGCCTGGCCGGGGGGGATGGTCCCTGGGCACAGGGCAGGAGGGTGGCAGGGAGGCCAGACTGGGGTGGGGTTGGTGGGGAGGCTGGCTCAACCTGAGGGGAAACTGAGGCTGGCAGAGAGCCCCCGGCCCCAGGGTTCCAGGCCTCCCCCACCACGGATCTCTGCCTTTCTCCAGGGCCAGGGGGCACTGCTGGCAGCTGGAGAGGAGGGGCTCCTGGCAGCGGGGGGAGTCTGGTGGGGGTGCCCCTGGCAGGGGCCGCCTGCCCAGACGCGCTGCTGCCAGGCTGATTAGCATGGGCGAGGGGCGCCGGCGCGGGGGCGCCGCCGGCCGGGCTGGCACGTCCCTCGCGGGCCCAGCTGGCCCGGCCCGGACACAAAGCGCCACAGACGGCGGCGGCGCTCGGCCATTCACGCGCAGGGGCGGCCGGGCGCGGGCGGCGAGGATTCCCGCCGCCGGGCGAAGAATAGCGCCTGGGCCGGGCGGGGCTCGGCCGGCCCGCGCTCCTGACCTTGAACCTTTGTGACTGGAGCGCATGCAAATCGCGGCGCGGCCGCGCCAAGCCCCGAGGGCGCTGCGCCGCCCGGGGCGGCCCGCGAACAATGCGCCACTGTCCCCGCGCCGCCGCGCCGCGGGCTGGGAACGGCACGGACACGCACCTGGGGCGCGGGCGGGCGCCCATGCGGGGGCTGTGCTCCGTGCCGCGTGGTGCGTGGCCGCGTGGACTCCCCAGGTGACCCCTGCTCCCTCCATCCTGCCTCCCCTTCCTGTCTTTTTTTTGCTGGGATTTATTTTTAAGTCCTCACCCCAATGACCGTGTCCCCGGAGAGAGCCTGCGCCCCCCGCGAGGTGCTTGCTGCCCCTTCTCTCTCTGGCATCTTGACACTTTCGTCCAGTGAAGCCTGTGTCACCAGCGCCCTGTACCACTGGACCCCAAGTGCCCCCATCACAGGGCCCTGTGCAAAGAGAAAAGACGCCAACCTCCCCAAGATCTGCTAAACTGAGCCCCAAAGGAGTGTCCAGGCCCAAATGTGGGTGCCGCTGTGCCCGCCCGCCCCTGCCTGGATCCCGGCTCTGTCCCCCTGGACCCAGCCCAGAAGCAGAGCACATGGCAGGCGGGGCAGGCGGGGCGCTGACTGTGTCCTCCTGCCTGAGCAGGTGACTCCAGCGCCTTCTGTGAGGTGTAGCCTCGGCCCAGCGCGGACTGGTGACCGCGGGTCACTCCTCCTCCCAGACTCGTGTCCCGACCCCCAGCCCCCCAGTTGATGAGATGTCTGGGCCCCTCCTGCCCATCTTGCACAGGCCGAGGGTGTGAGGGCCGCCCAGGTGCAGGTGCAGGAGGGGGCCCTGTGGGCGTGCGCACCTGTGTGGGGAGTGTCCCTGGGTTCCTTCCTGCCGAGGGGCTGGGGAGTCCCAGCTGGCCTGGGACAGAACGAAGAGGCTCAGAGGAAGTGGGCTGTGCATGCTGCTCCCTCTCTGGGCGTCCGTCTCACCAGGGGCTAAACAAGGGGTCTCGGAGGAGGCCCCCGGAGCTCTCCGCGGTACGGATCAGCAGCAGGGGCTCCCTGTGAAGCCCGGCACAGAGCACAGAGCCAGCACGCCTGAACATGGCCGTTACGGTTTCCTCCTCTGGCTGGACAGGTTGGGGCAGACACCCCCCCCCCAAGAAGTGTGAGACCCCAGGTTGGCTCCAGGGGAGCTCAGAGCCTGGCTGGAAGCTGGGGGCGGGGGAGGAAGCAGATGGGGTGTGGGTGGGCTGGGCAGGGGGTGGTGGGAGAACAGAGCAGGTGATGGAGGGGCTCAGAGAGCCCTCTTGGAGGGGCCTGGAGGGGAGGGGACGCCTCAGGGTGGCTGCGCACGGTGGATGGCACAGCCCACGGTGCTGCAGGGCACCGGCTCTGATTCAGGTCAGGAAGGCGTCCGGGGGTCTCATTCTGTAGGAGGGGAGAGGCTGAGAAATGGGCGCAGCCGTGAGTGTGCACCCCCAGGGAGGGCGGGGACGACTCCTGTGTGCCCTGTCCTCACGCTGCTACAGAGCTGGCCAGGTGATGGGGCCGGGGTCAGTCCTCTCGACGAGTGACTCCTGTAGGTGAGCCACGTTGGACAGTCCCTCGCCCTCAGAGACTGGAAGGGCTGTGGCTTCCGTCCTCAGACCCCTCAGCCTGCCGGTCCCCCGGGGCATCTTGGGAAAGCAGAACCGGAAGGGGCCTGGGCAGCGTGGGCGCCGCTTCCCAGTGGGCAGACGGGGACACTGAGGCCCTAGGGGGTGCTGGGCTGGAGTCAGGTCCCCGCCTTCTAGGTCTTTCCACTACTTCACCGGATTCCTGGGAAATTAGCCATGGAAAAGCCGTCCCCCGCTCCAGGAGGAAGGCGGTCATACTTTCCGTCCTGGCTCCTTGCAAGCACCTGGGGCGCGGTGGGTCCCCGGCAGCCCCCGTGCTGAGACGCGGGCCTGCGTCACCCAGGGCCGCTCGTGAGGACGCTGTGGTGGCGCTGACACCGTGGGCGGGGCGTCTGTGAAACCAGCCTCAGGGCCTCCAGCTGGCAGCTGTGTGACTGCCTTGGCTGCCACCACCCTGGAGCTGGGTCTGGGCCTGGGCTGGCCCCAGGCAGTGGCCAGGTCTCCACGAGGGGGAGCAGGAGTGAGCACACTCCCCTCCCCCCCGCCCCGACCGCTGGCGCCGCCCTCTTCCCCGGGTGGGTGGCGAGGCTGCGCAGCCAGGCCTGACCCTGGCTCACTCTTCGCTGCTGGTCTGTGTCCCCGTTCAGGCCGACTCGCCTCCCTAGCCGGAGAAGTCGGCCACAGGGCGGCGAGGGCAGGGCAGACCCTGCGGGAGAAGAGCTCCGATGCCACCAGGCACAGGGAATGCTCAGTGGGTGCTGGCGATCAGCTCATCCTCACGCTGCCTCCCCCACCCCTTCCTGCTCGCGCCTCTTCCCCTGGACTGTGCCCGTGTCTGCCCCTGTGCCGGTCTCTGGGCCTCTTGCTGAGGGCAGCCCGGAGCCCTGGACAGGCGTGGACGACGCCCTTCTGGCACTCGCAGCCAGGACAAAGCAGGGGGTTCACCACGTGACCCAGACCGTTGTGATGAGCGCAAGGCTCTGCTCCGAGCTGCGGGGCTGGTGTGGCCGAGGCACTGAACCGGAAGTCACGCTGACGTAAGCCGCCACGGGGCTGGGGGCTCCCCTCGGGGACGACGCGGATCCGGAAAAGCAACCCCACTGCTCCTCGCTGTGTCGTTTCTTCACGAGGCTCACAACACGTGGACGTCCAGGAGCTCATTTTTGGTCCTTTTTCAAGGCTTGCTGTGGACATGTCAGCTGGGGATGAGATTCTGGGGAAAACCGCTCCACGATGCCCTCCGGGGCTGGTCCTGCCACAGGAGACCTGTACTGGTCCCTAGGGAACTTGTGGGGCTCCTGGGAGGCGCATCTCAGAATCGTCCCCCAGCAGGCAGAGGGGCGCAGGTCAAGGGTGGCCCCGTGGAGGGGTGGTGCCCAGGGGGTCCCGTCTTCAGAGAAGCACAGGGACAGGAGGTGGCGGGCATCCAGCGTGGGCCCAGGTAAGGTTCTGATTGGTTGCACCTGTCTGCAGCTGGCCCGAGTCTTTGGGAGCCTGGCTGTGGTGGCAGAGGCTGCAGGGGGTGTGGGTAGCAACTCGGACTAGACTAAGTTACTGGAATTAAGACTTATTCTATGCATCTGCTCTCCCACAATATGGCGCTGGGAGAGGAAGAAACAGCTTCTACACAGCTGCCTCCAGTTCAACCAATAAACTGTAGGACCTGCTCCTGATTGGAGGAGAGCAGCGTACTCGGCGTGTGGGTAGCAGAGTTGGGATTGGCGGAGGAGGACTATAAAGGAGGAGAGAGAGAACATGCACCAGGAACATCTAAGGGGAACATCTGAAGGAACACCTGTGCAGCCCCCGAGAGAGCCGGCCGGCGGTGTGCCGCTCCCCCGCGGAAGTGGGGAATGTGGCAGGGGGAACCGCCCTTCCACGGAGGTGGAAGGGTCGGTAGCCAACCCGGGAAGAACCAGCAGCAAACCCGGGGAGGGCCGAACAGACGAAAGAACAGCGCAGGGTCCTGTGTCGTTCCTCCACGAAGACGGGGAGAGACAAGGGGGGTTCACGTGGCGCACGCGACGTGTCCAGTGTGGGCCACACCCCACTGCTGTGCCTTTGATGAAATCGGGGCTGCCAGAGTCCTCTTTTGTTCTATGTTTTTAAAAGAGAAGTCTTTACTTATTTGAAAGAGAGAGAGAGCGCGCGCACTTTCATCCACTGGTTCACTACTCAGATGACCGCAATGGCCAGGGTGGGATCAGGCCAAAGCCAGGAGCCAGGAGCTTCATCCAGGTCTCCCACATGCGTGCAAGGGCCCAAGCACTTGGGCCATCTTCTGTTGCTTTTCCCAGGTGCATTAGCAGGGAGCTGGATCGGAAGTGGAGCAGCCAGCACGCGAAGCGGCACTCACGGGAGATGCCAGCAGAGGCTTAGCCCAGTGCACCACAATGCTGGCCCCGAGTCCTCTTCAGGGTGGCAGCCAGGGGCAAGCTCTGCACCCTCGAGACAGCACATTACGGGAATAAGCCACCGCTCCACCTGTTGCACCCGGCCGTTGGGGCCATTTGGGGAATGAACCAGTGGATGCAAGGTTTCTCTCTCTCTCTTTCTCTGTTTCTGTAATTCTGCCTTTCAAATAAATAAATAAATCTTTAAAAAAATAATTATAAGGCTAAAAATGAAATCATAAATACACTAGAAGAAAATATAAACATTGACATAATTTGAGGTGGGAAACATACATTCATGTTATATTTAATTTTCCACATATTTTAATAAAGACTTATTTATTTGAAAGACAGAGTTACAGAGAGAGGGAGAGACACAGAGAGAGAGATCTTCTACCTGTTGGTTCACTCCCCAGATGGCCGCAATGGCCAGGATAGGATCAGGTCAAAGCCAGGAGCCAGGAGCTTCATCCAGGTCTCCCACGTGGATGCAGGGGCCCAAGCAGTTGGGCCATCTTGCACTGTTTTCCCAGGCCATTAGCAGGGAGCTGGATCTGAAGTAGAGCAGCTAGGACATGAACCAGTGCCCATATGGGATGCCAGCGTAGCAGGTGGCAGCTTTACCCACTGTGCCACAACACTGGCCCCTTCCTCAATTTTAAAAGTATTTTTGCATGGCTATAAATTTTTTCCCACAAATGCTGGTTTAAAAAATGGTTTAAGGTGAGTCAAAAGGCAGAAAAGAAACTGGGAAAAACTGTGTTCCAGGCAAAATGTCCCAACTCCACCCACAAAACCTCCTTGGAAATCAGTAGGATGAAATATTTGCAATGATATGTGATGAAAATTTACTGAAGAAATTCAGGGGCCGGCTCTGTAAAGGCGTCGCCTATAGTGCCGGCATCGTGTATGGGCGCCAGTTCAAGTCCCAGCTGCTCCACTTCCCATCCAGCCTTCTGCAATAGCCTGGGAAAGCAGTAGAAGAT